GTTGAAACCTTTTCATTTAGCTGCAATCAAGCCAACATTGCAGGGGTATAATATTTTTTTTGTTGAAGAATATTAGTTTTGAATCATTAAATTATGTGAAAGGTTTCTCGAATTTCAACAAGAGGAATATTGGTTTCTAATTGGTAGTTTCTATATCGATTTCCAAGTATAACAAAAAGTATATTTTGAAAATAAATGGTATGAAACCATATATTTTTTTTTAAATGTAAAAAAATTATTTCAAAATGTGATTATTTTTTAAAATATAATGTAATTTTAAAAATAAAAGGATAAGATATTTTTGAATTTTAGTAGAGAATTTTTAAATTATTATAATAGAAGTCATATCATGGATGAAATCAAGTAACTGAAGTCTTATGGAATAATTACATAAATATCCGGCTAGATTTATCGTTGATCTTTATAGCTGATATACATAGATGATATACTGCCGATACATGATTATACACGTATTATATATGGATTATATCTAAATTACACATTTTGTAATTTTTTAATTTAAGTAGTTAGGTGAGCACATATTTAAGTTGATTAGATAAAGCCAAAAGAAAAATATAAAATAATTTTAACCAAAGACTAAAAATATAAATAAATTTCTTATGTAGACAATTTCTATTAAAAATCATCCTTTTATGGCGAAACAAATTAATTTTTTGTTATAAAATAAAGAAAGACATACAAAATAAGATAAAAGAAAATAAATATAGAAAAAATATATGAAAAATCTAAGAACCAGAAAATAAAGATAACAACGAATTTCTTCTTCTCCTTATCTCTGTTGAGTATAGAAAATTTGGAAGCTGATCTCATTGATTTATTTTTTTTTTCAACTCAAATACATAGATTATAAGATAAGGATATCTTAGAATATATTTTTTTCTAATTTACATTGTGTGTCGTTTTCAAAAAATTACTATTACTAACAAACTGATATGATATTCGAATCTGAATTTAGATGTAATTTGAGTAGTTTGCATTGATGTTAAGCCATGTATAGTGTCGAGAAAAAACTACTTGATAATTTTAAGATAATATGTGCAATGTTATATAATAGTAATCAGCTAATTTAACATTTAATGATTCAAAGAAAAAAAATTGTATATATAAGGTATTCAAAATTTAAAATTTGTGGCTAGAGATATCAATACACTCAAAATAGAGCCATACTGAAATAAAGTTTCGCCGGCTAAAAAATTATTTAAATGTTTAGATAGTCTATAAAAGTGAATTTTAAATTAAGGATGATATCTTCACCTGCATCATTATAAAGCTAATCATTATTGAAAGATAACAACATACCAAAATAAAATTAGAATTTCAGAATAAAATATTTTTGGAAAGATAACAACATACCAAAGAAGAGTTCAAGTCATAGTAAAAGAGTCATGTCGTAACTAAAAAGTCATTCATATTATGTCATCCTTTGCGCTTTGCCATAAATACGAGTTATTATTTCGCTTCGTGACTATTTTTAGGTTCCAATGACTCCAATAAGAATGATGCAAAAAAAAAAAAATCACTACGAGATTTGAAAAAATATTAGTTTTTTTTTCATGTAGTATTTCTTAATTAATATCTAACGATTATCTATAATTATACAGAAGGTTTAAATTTTAAGGTTATTTATATATAATTCAAATAACTCAGATGTTTAATATGGTTAGTGTCATATATCAAAATGGAGTCATACTGGAAAAAATAAATTCACTGGCTAAAGAATTATTTAAATTTTTAGATACTCGACTAAACTGAGTTTTTGAATTAAGGATAATATTTTTACTTCCTTTATTAGAAACATAATTATTATTGAAAAATAAAATTTTAGAAACTGAAATTTTAAAATAGAAATATTTTTTGAAAGATATCAACACACCAAATAAGAGTTCAAGTAGTAATACAAAAGTCAAGCCGCATCCAAAGAATCCTTCATAGTCTCAACCTTTGATTATTTGCCATAGATATGAGTTATTATTTTGCTTCCTGACTATTTTCAGGATCCAGTGACACCGCTGAGAATGGTACCAAAAAAAAAAATGAATTATAACTAGGAAATTTGAGAAATGGTTAATCTTTTTCATGTAGTGTTTCTTAATTTATAGGAGTATCCAATAATTATCTATATTTATCAAGAAGGTTTAAATTTTAAGACTATTGACACATAATTCAAATAAATAAATATTTGTCATGATTAGTGTCCGCACATCCGCGCGGGTGCTAATACTAGTGTTTGATAAAGATTATTAAGTTAACCCATAGATCCAATCATTCTATTTCCCTTTTCCTCTCATAATTGAAAAGGCACATTAAGCATTTATGTTCTGAATTATAGCTATATAAGTAACAATATTTATTCTTTCTCTAATTGTTCCTCTTATAATAATAAATTCACACACACAAAAAAAAAATCAAAACTACGCATAACAAATCGAGAAAACAAAGTTTTTATATTCTTTATAATATTTTATTTCTTCAATATAAATTCCATACTTTCCTTAATTATCATTTATAGTAATTTCCACCATTGGTGTCACCAATGTCCTTTTTCCAACCTTCCAATTCTCCATTTACTGATATTCTTTATTATATTTTATTTCTTCAATATAAATTCCATACTTTCCTTAATTATCATTTATAGTAATTTCCACCATTGGTGTCACCAATGTCCTTTTTCTAACCTTCCAATTCTCCATTTACTGAATACTCCATCCGTTCACTTTTACTTGACACGTTTTGACTTTTTACGCCTCTTAAGAAACTAGTCTTTATGGTACGCGCGGTGCACATATATCTCGTATTAATAAATATAAATTTTAAAAGAGTTACATTAATTTTAAATTGAAAATTATTTAGGATTTATTGTAAAAGAAATTTTTAAAAAAAGGTATAAGTTTTTTAAAATAATAATTATTGTGTCCTATTTATCTAGTTACTCAATTTAGGAAGAAATTTTCCACTATGTATCTTCCTATAAATATGCAATATTATTAGTGTGCTTTTATTTTAGAACTCATATAGTACATATTTAACTACAATGTTTATATACTTTTACTTATGTAAGGTAACTTTCGTAAAAGTTCAAATATTTACATTAGTGATCAATTTGATGTGTTTCCATTGAAGTGATGGAATCTAAATTTTTAATATTAAGACATCCTATCTAATTTTGATCAGGAAGGATTCAATAAATAAAATTTAGTTGATTTCAAAATCCTAATAATTAGGGAAATGATTAAATATTCCTAGAAAAATAATTAAATAAATATTTTGTTTAGAGTTAAATCTATTATTAAAGGGTAAAAAATGCAAACGACATTTTGCTAAGAGACTTTATAATTTTAATATAGTGCTAATTTTTGGATACGTGTTCTGCGCGTGTACTCCATATCAATAAGTGTAAACTTTTGAAACATATATAAATATTTTTAAGATATGTATACTTAACGTGCAATTGTTAAATGTCATTTCAAAAATATTTGTAAAATTCGATGTTGAGTCAAAGAGTATTAATAGTAGATGATAATTTAGTATTTATTAGCACACTTCGTTACCTTTGCAAACACGGAATCCACAATTACATGCCTTTATAAAATTGTTCATAAAAATCTTAGATAATTTTAAAGTTTTAAATATTAAGCAAGCAATTTGTAATTATAAATTTTTAAAAATTAGGAATTTTTATCTAAATAAAATAACTAGAAATATTTAATTGCCAATAAACTTTAGCTAACCTAACTCCTAAATAAAGGAGTTTTTATTTTTTTAAAACTATTAGAGATGTAAGATGCATAGTTCTTGCATTTCAATTTTCAAAACTATAATAAGAGTCTAAAAAGAAAAGATGTTTCATTAAACAACTATTGAAAAGAGCCAAAATTCAGTCTCTTTTTGCTATTGGAGGCGTAAGTTGTGCATATCACAAAGCTAAATTATACATTTCATATTGCAAAATCCTAAATATTAGGAAATTTATCATGAAAAAGTATTATGGTTATGTTACTGTTCAGTTAAGGAAATGATTTATACACGGTAAAGTTATAGTAAAAATTAAAATCCTAAATATTAGAAATTCTTACGTAGTTTAAACAAGGAAAATTTAATAATAAAATATTTTAATTAATTTTGAAGTACTAAATATTAGGAAAATAATCTAATTACTATTTTGTCAAATAAGAATTCTATTTTTAAAGGGTAAAAAAAGCAAACGACATTTCGCTAAGGGGCTTCGTGCTTTTAATATAGTATATAGATAGATAATAAATGAAGTGCATAATTTACCATGATACCCATATTAATTGATGCATATTTTATTAAATTTGAAAAAAATAATTTGAACTGAGTAATAAATACTATGGGTATAACAGGAAAAAAATTGTCTTCTCTTGATATGCGTAAAGTGATAAGTAAAAATGAAAATTTATTTTTAGTATATATGCCAAGTAAAAGTGAGGGAGTATTCCATATTTTCTACACATATTTATAGCCTGTTTGGCCAAGTTTTTTTTTGGGCCAAAAGTGCTTTTTTAATTGAGGTGTTTGACCAAGTTTTTGAAAGGAAAAAGTGCTTTTGAGGAGAAGCAAAAGCAGTTTTGGAGAATGCTTCTCTTCAAAAGCATTTTTGAGAAAAATACACTTAGAAGCAGTTTTCAAAAGCTTGGCCAAACACTAATTACTGCTCAAAAGTGCTTTTCAAATTAATTAGCCAAACACAAACTAGTTCTCACCAAAATTACTTTTTTTAAAAGTACTTTTGAGAATATTACTTCTCAAAATAAGCTGATTTTAGAAGCTCGGCCAAACGGGCAATTAGAAAGGGTGATTACTGTAGGGAAATTATTATTTTTGTTTTCTCTTATAAATCAATTGCCAATTTATCCAAAATAAATATATTCCAGCTGTATGTAGGACCCACTATGGCCAAAACTTATTACGATTTTCGTCAGTCTATAAATAGCAGCTCTTAACAACTCGGTTACTTTTTCTCCTCTTCTTCCATTTCCAAACACACATACACACACACAGTCTCTCTCTCTGGCGATCTCGCCGGCGCTCCGGCCTTCATTACCGTCGGAAAATCTCCCTTCTTCTTCTTTCTCTCTCTGGCTAAGGTCTCTCTCCCTCTCGCTCTCTATAAAACGTATATTCATCTACATATTTCTCTTCTTTGCATAAAAGTACGTATTTTCTGCGTCTGTTTTCTTAGTTTTGTGCAATATCAGCTTTAGATCTAATTTGGGTCTTGGTAATTTGTTTGTTTTGCTTCTCTAAAAGCTTTTTTTACTTTATCTTTTTCTTCATTTCATTATGTTCTCTTCTTCATTGTATTTGGATCTTGAGTTTGTATATATGCAGCTTGTTTTCTGAATTGGGACATGGCTAAAATGTTCAAATATTTGATCTTTTCATATTCTTCCTTTATAGAACCCGATATTATATTAAGTAGCAGTTAAATATCGGTACTTTTTTTTTGGATAAGGTTATTTTGATTATGGTAATGTTATGCTAATTACCAGCATTATTACTTATTGGTAACCTTCAAAAAGGTGTATAAGATTGTGAAAGTGAATTCCTTTTTACTCTTACTTCTTTTGTCCCTTGCATAATGGATGGGATTATAGCTATTTGGCGATTGACCCATTTTTCGCGTTCAGTTGAGCCGTAATGTTATGCAGATTTGTTTTCTGTACAATTTTCATTATGGATGTTTTAAATATGACATTATGGATTTTCTGACCATCTATTTATGTGTTTCTACTCATATGCACCCAAATATTCCAATTTTATGGACCGAAAGGTGCTTTTTGCGCTAGACATATTGTTATTGGGTTGACAAGTACTCTGTTGTTTTTAACTTTTTATAAAGAGAGATAAGAAGTTTGTGTTTTTGTGTGGTTGTGCAACTTGCTTCTTTGTCTAAAAGGTTATTGTTTGACTATCTATTTATGTGTTACTCGAGCTCATGCACACACACACACATGTGTGTGTGTGTAATGTATGTGTGTGTCTATGTGTCTAATGTGTGTGTCCATACATCATTTATGAGTATTGAAATGAAATGGATCTGGATGGAGAGCAGTAAGATGTAGGGGATTCATATAACCAAACCTACTAGCAAGCTATTGAGGCATAGTTGATTGATTAATATTAACATACATGCTCACAAACACATGCACATATATTTATATGTGAGTGTGTGCGTGTGTGTGTCTAAAGTGCCTTCTTTTGTGCGAGCACTATAGTCTAAGTAATAGATAGCATTTTTGTGTTTTTGTGTGTGTCTGCAACTTGTGTTGGGGTCTATAAAGGGTTATTTTTTATGATACAGAGTACTTCTGTGGATTGAAGGGTTAAGGCGAGCATGGAAGGAACTGGAATGAGAAATGTGAGCTCCAACTGCTCCATTTCTGACATAGATGATTATGATCTCTCTAAGCTTCTTGACAAGCCAAGGCTAAACATAGAGAGGAAGAGATCATTTGATGAGAGGTCACTTAGTGAGTTATCCATAGGCCTATCGAGAGGTTTAGATCATTATGAAAGTGCTTCACCAGGCCGGTCAGTCTTGGACACCCCGACTTCATCAGCCCGGAACTCTTTTGAGCCCCATCCAATGGTTGCTGAGGCCTGGGATGCTCTCCGCCGCTCTTTGGTTCATTTTCGGGGCCAACCAGTTGGCACAATTGCCGCAGTTGACCATGCTTCTGAAGAAGTCCTCAACTATGATCAGGTCAGTGTTTATATGAAATCTAAGCATTACATTATCTTGGTGCTCTATGTGATTTTGAATTTGGAATTTGCATAATATTGGTATCATATACTACCTATAAAAAATAATATTGGTATCATATACTATGATCAGGTGTGACCTTTTGACAAAAATACTGGAAACCCATGTATATGTGTGGGTTATTGATGCCATACATATAATTGTGTGGGATATTGATGCCGAAACTGCTTTAATGCTGAGTGAGGTACAGTGATGTGATAAGGAGTATAATATTACCTGTATCATCAGAGTATTTATCCATTTAAGTTTTTGTTTAATGTGTAGGTTTTTGTTCGAGATTTTGTGCCTAGTGCTTTGGCCTTCCTGATGAACGGAGAGCCAGATATAGTTAAGAATTTCTTGTTGAAGACACTTCAGCTTCAGGGGTGGGAAAAAAGAATAGATAGATTCAAGCTGGGAGAAGGGGTTATGCCTGCTAGTTTCAAGGTTCTTCATGATCCTGTTCGTAAGACAGATACCATAGTAGCAGATTTTGGTGAGAGTGCAATTGGAAGAGTTGCTCCAGTTGATTCTGGGTTTTGGTGGATAATTCTTCTCCGTGCTTACACAAAATCTACTGGAGACATGAGTCTCTCTGAAACACCAGAGTGCCAAAAAGGGATGAGGCTTATATTGAGCTTGTGTCTCTCTGAAGGATTTGACACGTTTCCTACGCTGCTATGTGCTGATGGATGCTCAATGATTGATCGGAGGATGGTAATCTATTTTTCCATCTTAACTTGTTAATATTGTTGGTTCTTTTTATCATTGTGCAGGGCCCATTTGACTTAGTTGATCGAATGTAGTTGATAATCAAAGCAGTTACGTGTTTGCATTTAAGTGCTAAAACTGATAATAAGCATTGATGTGTTGACAAAAAGTGCTGATATGCAATTTTATATTAGAATGAAAGAAATGCCATTAAAGTTGTTAGAGATAAATTAGTAAAATCTTGGTGAAACTGTAAGTGCTTATAAGTTGAAAAACCATAAGTTGCGGGGTGACCAAAGGGGTAGATAAGCACTTTTAATTTTTATCAAATGAGGAGATAAGTTAAAAAATATCTGATAAGCTTGCACAAACACCCAAAAATATCTGATAAGCACTTTTAATTTTTATCAAATGAGGAGATAAGTTAAAAAATATTTGATAAGCTTGCACAAACACCCAAATAGTGCTAATAACGAGTTGAATCTCTTTGGTATCCAATGATGTAAACTGATCTTTATTGTATCAGCAAAACTAAAAGAATTTTGTTAAGAAATCTTGTGCTCAATTGACTGAAGGGTTGGTATCATGGACTTCTAGGAACCTTTTTTGTACATCTTCTTCTTTTGTTCGTGGTTATTGCTCTAAGATTCACAAATCTTTCAGTCAGAAAAAGAACTTGCATAAGGGATTGTCTATCAGAGCCCTTTCGTTTCGTTTCTTTATCCCTACAATTACATGAGATGGGCTCTAAATCACAGGAAATGGATTTTTGGATGTAGAAGAATTCATTGAATGTTCTTGGTGTAGCTTTGTTGGTGATCTTTAAGGTAAGTGCTTATGCGTGTAGATCTCTTTTCTAAGTTACTTTAGGAAAATAAAATAGCGATAGGCAATGCCCTTTTTTTATTTTTAATCCAGTATGTTTGGGGATTGTCTATCAGAGCCCTTTCGTTTCGTTTCTTTATCCCTACGATTGCATGAGATGGGCTCTAAATCACAGGAAATGGATTTTTGGATGTAGTAGAATTCATTGAATGTTCTTGGTGTAGCTTTGTTGGTGATCTTTAAGGTAAGTGCTTATGCGTGTAGATCACTTTTCTAAGTTACTTTAGGAAAATAAAATAGCAATAGGCAATGCCTTTTTTTATTTTTAATCCAGCATGTTTGGGGAATGCTCTTTGTACAACTCCTTGGTCCATTGGACTGCATCCTAAGGTAAACTTCAATGGAGGTTTGTTAACAAAGCAGACAATGGTAAATTGGGGAGATCAAAGACTCGTTGCTTACATTGATTAACCATAGCTCCTTAAAAGTTTGTTTGCCTCATTAATTAGCCTCTTCAAGTGATGTTCTTCCTTGGTCAGTGATTGTTGTTCAATTGTTCAGAGTATTGATTTTTTGGTCCCATACTTACGTTCAAGTGTTGGACATATACAATCTTGATGTTTGGAATAAGAGTACTTAACTAATCTGTTGGTTTCTCAGACAAGTAACATCCGTGAGGAATACATATCATTCATTTTTAATGATTACTGCGTTTAGATTGACTTTGAGAATTGTCATTCAAAGAGAAATAGATCATAAAGCTAAAAGAAAAAAGTAAGACCAGAAAAGGGAAGAAGAGATAATTTTATCATGTATTTCAGCCCTAAAAAGCTGCCACATAGCTCATATTCTTCTTTGTTGAAGAGGAAAAGAAATACTTGTCTTCCTCTTGTCTTTTTTTCTTTTTCTTAAAAAAGTCTTTTCAATTTTCTTTCTTTATTTGTAATGGGAATAATCTTCATACCATTAGGAGATAGAAGACAAAGAAAACGTAACAAGGCTTATCTAGTTAAATCTTGTTTTACTGATTTTTTTTTAAAGAAAACTAGAAAACATAACATGGCTCAATTGAATTGTTTTTGGTAATGCCTCATGTTGAATTGCAATATTTCATTGTTTTTCTCTTCCAGCTTAGCTATCAATGACGTTCAAATTTATTCAAACATTTGAGTTTTAATAGGTTGATGAATATCTTGGAGGTGAACGTTTTTGTTTATATTACTCCATAAATCTGACAGTGATCTGGAAACTCTAAGCATCATAAATAGCTTTCAACTAGGAGAGTGGAATTCTTACCTTTGTGAGTTTCCTTATCCACTCTTAGAGGACTGGATACTTTATGCTTAAAAGAAAAGTAACACAGTTATTTCCGGTCTCCCCAAAATTTGTTTTGTCATCATAAATATTAGAATGTCATTACCTAGTAGTTACTTGCACAATATTAGGTCCCGTGATTGGTGTTTTGCCCTTGAAGAGACAATAGTTGGATTTTTAACTTGTCATGGTTGATTTTCAGGGAATTTATGGTTATCCTATAGAGATCCAAGCACTCTTCTTTATGGCACTGAGATCTGCATTGGCAATGTTGAAGCACGATGCAGAGGGGAAAGAATTTATTGAGAGAATAGTGAAGCGCCTGCATGCCTTGAGTTTTCATATGCGAAGTTATTTCTGGCTTGACTTTCAACAATTAAATGACATATACCGCTATAAAACTGAAGAGTATTCTCACACCGCAGTAAATAAATTTAATGTTATCCCTGATTCAATCCCGGAGTGGGTATTTGATTTTGTGCCTATGCGTGGTGGTTACTTTATTGGAAATGTTAGTCCTGCTAGGATGGACTTCAGGTGGTTTGCTTTGGGTAACTGTATCGCTATCTTGTCTTCCCTTGCCACCCCTGAGCAAGCTTCTGCTATTATGGATCTCATAGAAGAGCGCTGGGAGGAGCTAGTAGCAGATATGCCTTTGAAGATATGTTATCCAGCAATTGAAAATCACGAATGGCGGATAGTTACTGGTTGTGATCCCAAGAATATTAGATGGAGTTACCATAACGGAGGATCTTGGCCAGGTTCGACCATCATCCCTCAGCACTGTAATTGATTTGATACTTTTACTTTTTAACCCCCTGCAATTGAGTAGAGCATGACTTTGATTCTCATTGGAAGTAATGTTATACGCCTGGATGCTATGTTACAAGGATTCTTTGCTTTGCATAATGTTTGTTCATCTTAGTTTTATAAGAGAAAGATGGCTATATTGCTACTGAGGCACTCTCAGAAAGAAATGAAATGCATAGGCTAATTCTTGAAGTCAATTGATCTTACACTTGCTAATACAACATATTATTCATCTCTTAAATGCAGTGCTTTTGTGGTTGCTGACGGCTGCCTGCATTAAGACTGGACGGCCACAAATTGCAAGACGGGCAATTGATCTTGCTGAGAGCTGCTTGCTCAAGGACAGCTGGCCTGAATACTATGATGGAAAACTCGGAAGATACATTGGTAAACAAGCAAGGAAGTATCAAACATGGTCAATTGCTGGATATCTTGTAGCAAAGATGTTGCTGGAGGATCCTTCACACTTGGGAATGATCTCTTTGGAAGAGGACAAGCAAATGAAGCCTGTAATCAAGCGATCATCTTCATGGACGTGCTGAAAATGTTGAGCTGAAGCAAGAGACAACGGTAGAAATGAATAGAGAAACACAACAGGTGAGAGATCTTTTTGTTACATTACAACAACACAATTCTTTGGCTATTTCTGTCCATCTAGGTTTGCTCAAGAGCTCCTTTTATGTAAATTAGCATCCAGCCAGATCAATGTCTTTGTTTCTCAAAATAAGAGACTTTTGTTTTGATAGCTTCCACTGTGTTGGACAAATTTTAGATACTGATGCTCTAATTGTTTGAACAAAGACGCTGAATATGATGTTTCTAACTATATCCATTGTTTGCCTAAATTGAAAAAAATTGTTGATATATTTATCCCGTGCTGCAGCTAAACAAAGTTATGCTCAACTACCTGATTAATACGTTACAAACTTAGAGGTAGCTCATCGTAAGAGTAATAAATTTGCTAACAGTTTTTATCCTCTGCTGCTATGCTAGTTTAATCTCAGTTTTATACAGTTTAGCAATTTGCTGCCCTATTGAGAAATTAACATCTGATGAAAAATAATTCAACAAAAAAAGTGTAAATAAAGCACCAATGATCAAAGGAAATAGTGAATAAAGGCTATAGCAGAGGCAGTCAGCAGTCTTTATCAGGCTGCCAAATGGAACATGATTGAGACAAATGGGAACCAAGAATAAGACCCATTTTTTTTTGGTTGTTTTCACATAGTAAGAAATTCACCTTTTAACATTAATTAGCAATGAAATTGATCATATTAACCTTTATTATCTCTTCACATAAACACTTCTAAAACATACTCCAGCATTAATTACTATAAGGGCAATGTAGAAAAAAAATAATTAATTCATTCTTGAAATCTGGAAAAATCATTTATTTTGGACCACAAATCGGAGTATAATATTAACATTTTTTGTGTCAATCGTTAATTTGGATCCCACATAATCCGAACATGTCACGCAAGAAAATGAAAAGTCGCCTAAACGACCCCAGTTATCATCCAAGAAAATATTTCTGTGACAAATTAGGAAAAAAGTGTCAATATTAAATACTAGGGCCCTCAAACAAAGTGCGAACGTTTGTCTCGTACACATCGAAGAGAAATGGATCATTTTAGAGTGTAACACTCTGGACAAATCTCAAGTCAATAAAACACAAGAAAATTTCTAATATATAAATAAATAAGTCTTAAATCTTAGTGACACATTTAAAAAGTCTAAGCCTAAAGTGAACATATTACTAGTGGATCGAACTATTACATAAAACAACTATAATTGAATATACTATTAAATATAAAAAAAAAATCATTTAATGATTTTTTTTATAAAAGTTAAAACTTGTAATCATGGATGATGGAAGGAGTATTTGTTTGACCAAAAAAAGAATAAATACGTTTGAGAATATTAAAGAAAGATTGAGGGAAATTATTATTAAGGGGAAAATATTAGTATTTGCTTTTCGAAAAGAACGGGAGGTTCCAGATACGAAGATCAACGCATCTAATCTATATGTATATATAAAGGTGGGCGTTAAAAAAGTGATGTGGCACGTCTCTTTGGGCAAGAATCGCACTTATCTTTTTTCTCAAAATTTTGACATTTTTCCTAGGTATGTGCTACATTAGAAAATCCAAAATTCACTTCTTAATTACATTCTCTTAATTATACCTCCCTCCGTTACTCTTCTTTCTCTCCCATTTCTTTTCAATTTAGAAGCTAACCGTTTTGCATCTATAGTAATAAAGCCTAATTATAGACAACCGTTTCTTATCATCATTAACATTAAAACCCCAAACTAAATGCCTCATCAAATTCCATACCAAAGTCACTTTTAAAAGTATCTGAATACACCCACATCTCCTCCATAGCAATGATACCAATTGAATAGAAAATTATATGATAAATATAGTATCAAACTGGTATCGATTGCAGACAAAGAAACTACTTCACCATCCCAAAGCATAGTTGCGGCTCCTTCTGATTCGAAGCGCCAATAGTTGTTGGTTGCTTCATTTCTTAAAAAGATTAAACTTTTCTATTATTTTATAAATTATTGACTCTGTTTATTTCAGTTTCTCTTTTCTAGGTGTGGAATGAGAGACATATACTACTTTACGAACATCTAACCTGTGTTTACACGATTCACGAAAAACCAGCAACGGTATATACTGGTTGCTTATCTTTATTTTGATTTTTTCTATTTTCCTTCTGAAGGTTATATGAAGCAAAAGACAAGAAGAATAATAGAAAATATAGATATTTTGTTTTCTCTGTGCAAATGCTCATTTGAAGGAGAAAGATTGAAGTGGGATCACTACATTGCAAGAAAAGATGGAAAACGACAATTTTCTTAGAAATATACTCACTTCCCCGACAATAGCTAAATGATTAATTGAGAGTACGATATTCTCTTAGGCAAGAAATAATTATTTATTTAATAGTAGTATAATTTTTAGATTTTTTTTTTTTGGATGTCCTCGAAGGGACATGACTCATGTAGTTGTAACATTAATTGAAATGAGTTTAGGTACTCTTCTGTATGGATAACTATAATATAATTGTACTGGAAATTTAAAATTAGTAGAGTTTGTGTTTAATTTGGATTGTTTTTGTGGGTGATACGTACTCGAAAATATACCATATGGAACCGGCATGTCTTTACATACAAAGGATGCTACGTTGAAATATTTTTGAGTCGAAAAATTTAAGAGCTATTGTAAAAAATCTTGCTTTTCCCTTATTTTTCCCACTGATATGATCATATGTTAGAAAAAATAGAATTTAATTTATAACAGATTTTAGATGGACTTTCATCTTCTAAAGTTCACATCCAGCGTCAAGTATTTAAGAATGCTGAATTTGCGATATGCTAGAGCTGGTTTTTTGCCCAACGGAGTTGATATTATTGAGATATCTTGCTATTCACATTGTTAGGAAGGAAATAATAAAAATAAATTACTGTGGAAACGCTCTAATAATATTATTGTTCTTGCTCTTTAATTTGGATCCTACTGATATAATTATGTGAACAAAAAAATATATCTTGAGTGTTGACAGAGAAGAAAAAAAAGAACAAGGAGGAACCAGAATTTTTCTTATCCTCTTTCTGATACTTGGATCCTTTTTTTTTTTTTTTGAATGAATTACTTTTTTCAATTTGTACGATTGGCAATGGGAACATTGAAAGAGAAAGAAGCAAACTTTTTGGAAATTTTGCAGAGAGTTAGTAGAAGAAATTGAAGATTTGTAAATACTATGAAGAAGGGAGCAAAGTGTTTTATTCTACTTATATACATTGATGATGTATAAAAAATTAGTTTACAATATCATATCATATTTAAATATTGTAGTAAATAAGCAAATAATATATAGTATATATTTTTTCAAATTATAATTTTTTTTATGTTAAATCACATGTAAAAATATCTTTTAGGTAACCTCATAATTTAAAAAAAATTAACTACCAATGTATGTTACTTAAACTGTAATTCTTATAATTTATCGAGGATAATAGAGATTTAAGGGGTTTTCTAAAATAGATGAATTAAGAGGGGGAAGAAGAAAGAAATCAATAATGACCGAGCAAATTCAAAAAGAAAAAGTTGAAAAAGGAAAAACAATAGGAAAACAATTAGATATTGGGAATACAATTCAATAATTTTTCTTTTTTCTTTTTTAGTTGCCTTGCATTCATTTCAAATTCTATATATGATTTGCATAGAGGTTTTTTTTTTAAAGAAAAAAAAGAGAAGAAAAACTAAAGTTGTACTATCTAACGAAAGAATGGGTATATTTTAGATATGCATTAGACTAAGGGAATAAGGTGCGCATACACAAACACATATTTAAGTGAACTTTTTTCTTATATATTTTTTTCATTTAAAAAAAAATCAGATTATGAAAATTATTTCCATCTAACCTCAATCAATATGTAGTATTTATTTTTTATTTATATATGTACGTCAAAATTTTATCTCTTTTATTTCAATTAAATTTCTAAAATAATTATTTATGAATTAAATGTGTTTTTATAACCGCGCGAAGCGCGGATAAATTTACTAGTATAAAGTAATTACTCTTTCTTTATATTCTACTATTGTATCTCCTTCTCTTTTCTTTTTTACTTCTATCGGAAGTTATGGAGCTATAAGAAAGGCACTAATTCGGGTTAATTAAATGAGTAATTAATTGTATTAAAATGACATAAAAATATGAAAAAGAATGTACATAAAGGTCTAAGAAAAGTGTTAGTTTACCTTTCCTAAGATGATCTCTATGACTCTTTGGATGATGATGGCGACGCTTATTTATAGCCATCCAAAGAGTCATAGAGATCGTCCTAGGAAAGGTGAACTAACACTTCTCTTAGACCTTTATGAACATTCTTTTTCATATTTTTATGTCATTTTAATACAATTAATTACTCATTTAATTAACCTGAATCAGTGCCTTTCTTATAGCTCTATAACTTCTAATAGAAGTAAAAAAAGAAAAGAGAAGGAGATACAATAGTAGAATATAAGGAAAGAGTAATTACTTTATATTTATTATTGTTATTGTTGTTGTATAAGATTTTTATTTTCTAAAATGAATATTTATTTATTTATTGTAAAATATGAAATTAAAGTAACATTCACTTTTAGGTAAATGGTAAAACGTAACCATCATCAAGTATATTTTCTTAACTGAAACAAATAATCTGCTAAAATACTTCGAGAAAAATATAACATATGCTTGTGTTTTACTGGGATATAATAATGTAATATGAGAAAAATAGTATGTAACAGAGTAGGAGTTTAATAGTTCTTATTATCAATTGCGCAAAGCGCGGGTGAATTTTCTAGTTTTCTTAATAAAATGATGTACCTGAACTTCCATAAAAATATTATAAATAAGTGTTTTTATATTTAAGAATAGTCAAAACTTTTATGTTTATGGTAATAAAATAAAGGCTCATTGACTGTTTAAATATACCATTTTAACCTAATTTTTACAACTTTCAAACATTCAATTTCTTCTTTTCTAATTTAAACTTTAATGTGATAGTTTTTTCTGTTGAACTTATTGATTATTAGTTTAACATTTTTTTCACTACCAGTCAATTAATTTTTTAATTTTTGTATTCAGTCAACCGGTAGTCATTTAAATTAAAACAAAAATAGTACTAGTAATACTTTCTTTTTTGTTTTCTCATTCGGGGTTGGATAACGCACTGGAGCTTTAACTAATCTTAATTTACGCTATATAAGACTTATTAAAGGCAAAAATTAATACCTATAAAATTATTTTATTTTTAGAACTTGAACCTAAAT